CTTCTTATCACATAGAAGCATCACCATACAACAAAGAGACTAAAAAGATCCACAAATGTGTCTACTAATGAGAAATGGGAAAGATAAAAGGACTTCTTTATCAAGTTCAGTTTGGTGCTGATGAAATAACACTTTACATGCCTTTTTTATAAATATATGCTTTAATGAAAATGTTAGCTAAAAACCATACTATGTGACAGTGATTTAGTCACAGGTGTCCTGAACAGTATCACTTCATAATGTTCACGCCTTCTCTAGGGGTCGGTATCATTATTCCCCATTCTGAGATGAGTCAGGGGTTCAGTAACTTGCCCAAAGTTACATACCTGGTATACAGCAGAGCCTGAATGGCTTAAACTACTACAAGGTACTAGACTGCTTCAATTCACTGATCTTTCCAACAACCTCATGAGATCCACAGGCAGCACTTGAAACAAGTATACTTTACAGGTCTATACAGATTAAATAACTTGGTCCATATTTTACTAAATAAGCATAATATCCATAAGTAAAACAATGCACAAAAGCTATCTAACAGAACCATAATACTGGCGCTTTCATTTAAATACATATTCTACCACCATGTTTAAAAAACCACAGTTAGGTTCCTTATAAACCTAAAAAACACTTTAACTGTTTGTTCTCAATCATCCCATTACAAATGAACAAGACTGGTGCTGTGATGCTTGTTATACCAAGCATAAAAAGTGAAACAGGAATTCAGAATTATCCCCTGAACCTTATGCCTGTTATCAGCTTGGTATTATAAAACAAGTGAGGATAAAATGACTGCTTATAAATAACTCAAAACAACCCAACATTTATATTTAATGAATTTCTATTCTTACTCGAAATATTTTAACACTTCCAATTGAACACATACTACAACAGAAAAGACTATTTTTAAAAGTTGGCTATTAACTCTGAAATTTGCTTGCAGGGTAGTCAATAACACACCAAAATAGTACAGATCAGGAATAAAAAAGGACTGTCCTTTTTTTTCAACTTATAAGGAATCTTTTTAAAAAAGTACACAGAAGCTGATTATTCAATTGGGTGACATAATGGCATAAATTCCACAGAGAATTAACTAATACTACCTTTGCCCAGGTTTTATACAAGATATAAAGCCAAATCTGGGGCAACCTATGGACACTTTAGGAACACCAGATCTTGGCATAAGAATATATGCTTTGGGGAGAGGGATGTATGCTTGGAATTACCATTTGAATGGTACAATCTGAACACTTAAAATATCAAAATTATAGCATATATTTAGTAATTGATGTTTTCTGGATCTGTTCTTTAAAGAATATGCAAGATCAATAGGTCGTGACCTGAACTTGTCTTTATTACTTATTTTCCTCTTTTATTTTTTACATTAAAGTTGTCTTTCTCAAAACCCAAGAATAAAAAGAAAAAAGAAACCAAAAAAAAAAAAACACTCAAGGATAAGCGAATCAAGAAAATCAGTTCTAAATAAGAAACAAAAAATAACGGATTCCTTCCTTCCTTTTCATTCACTGTTCACAGAGAGGCTAACTCACACATGCTCAGCACTCCTCTTCAGTTAATGTGGCGTGGTATCAAGGCAAAGACAGGAACTACAGAACTCCCAGCATGCTCATGCCAGGGACAGACTTACTACCTGTTAGGCAAATCACAGAACTTTGCTCTTTGTGACATAGGTCAGCATTGTAATAATGCTATAAGGTCATGTAAAAACAGCTCCAGCCTACTTTTGTAATTGGAAAATGACAATTGTCCTGAAGCCCTCTTTTCCTTATCTTATCTAAAATCAGAACAGTATCAGGATACTGGGATGCAGCTCAGTGGCAGAGGGCATGTGAAGCCTTGCGTTCAATTTCCCACACAAAAAAGTCAAATTATCAATGTTTGAACATTAATGACTAAAAAACTTTGCAAAACACAAAAGATAGTTTCTACTTTCCATAGCACAAACAGAATTTACTTCAGATATCTAAGATGCTTATTCTTTGACTATTCCCCATCTAATTTCCATCTGAGATATAACAACTGTCCTATCTAACAATTAAGACAATGACTTAATCTCAGGACACAAGTACAAAATACTTGTAATTTTCCTCCAAGAAAATTCACATTTTTTTTCACCTTTCTTAAATCACAGTATTTCTCCTCCATAAACCAGACTGAATTTGGAATGGGACACATCTCCTACTCTGTCTCTAGTAACTAGTAGCGAGCTCAGGGAAATAAACATAGTGTTTTAGAATCTCACTTCTTGGTCTTTGGGCTAAAATCAAGTGTAGAATCTACTGTGTATATCTACCTCTCTCCTTAGTCATGGGTAGCCAAGACAGAAATAGAGCACACAATTCTACACTTAATTTTTTTCTATAGAAATACAAAGCTTCCTTGAAATAAAAATATAATGAATTAACTACTCCCTGTATGACATTAATCAAGAAATGCAGGACTGGGGGCCAGGGCAAAAGTGATATAGTACCTACTTGAGTTCAAACCCTAGTACTATCAAAAAAAAAAAAAAAGAAAGAAAACTACATAGAAAGGCAATAACGAAATTAGAAGACAACAGAATATCCTGCTGTGATCAATCCTCAGCCATCACCAATCCACGTGTAAGTAAAATGTGCCTTCTTGTTCTTTAGTTTTCTAAGAACACAATGTTCCTCAAGTAGTCCTCAGAAGTAAAATGAACACATACCCAAGGGATCTTGGGGAATATTTACCTCAAATATTCAAATAGCTCAAAATTTAGAATGGAAAAGTGTAAATGTGTCAGACATGGTTATTTCAATAGGACCTGGATGTTGCACTGAGAAAAGACCAAAGAGAAAAAACTGTGGAAGCAGGGAGACTAGCAAGGAAACAACCATTACAATCCAGGCAAAAATCATGGTGGCTTAGACCAAGGTGGTGCAGTGGAGAGGGTAGTAAGTGGTCACACTCTGCACATTCAACAGGACTTGCTGAAGAAGATGGAGGAGTGGGAGGGGAGGGTGGTCAGAGAATGACAGCCAAGGACAAATACCCAGATTGTGGCTGGTTTAACTGGAAGAGCAAGGTTATTTTTAACAGATAAGGGAAAAACTGTAATACAGGACTTTTTTTTTTTTTTTTTTGGTGGCACTGGGGTCTGAACTCAGGACTTTGCACTTGCTAGGCAGGTGCTCTTACAGCTTAAGTCACTCCACCAGCCCCTGCAATATAGATTTCTGATGGAGTAGTCAGACTTAGTTTGGGGACACATTAAGGTCTTTGTAAGATATTCAAGTGGAGATGTCCAGAAGGCAGATTGTTATTCAAGTCAGAAGTTAAGAGGAAAGGCCTGGGCCAAAGAGCCAAATTTTGGTATCACCAATATACAGCATTTGGATGAAATCACCTAGCTAATGAATAGAGCTGAAAAAGAGAAGATGGAAGGACAGAATCTGAGGGCATTTCCAACATTTAGACATAGGAAACACCAAGAAACCAAAGTGAAGTAATTAAAGAGGCAGACAAAAAGCAAGCAAGTAAACTGTCTGCAAAGCCAAGTGAAGGAAGTATTTCATGAAAAGTGACCAACAATCTGAATCACATGAAGGAGGACCAATGAGAGCCCCTGGAATCAGCAACAGTGAGCTGAAAGCCTGACTGGAGTGGGTTCAGCAGAGAACAGGACAAGAACATCTGAAACAGTTAGTGTACTTTGAAAAAAGAGTTTTGCTGTAAAGGGAGGGAAAGAAATAAGGCAGTGGCTAGGCAGGGAAGGAAACGTAGGACTTTTTTTTTTTTAAGATAGGAGGAATCTATTGTAGGTTGGTGGGAATGATTTAGAAGACAGGGACAATGATAGAAAAGGGAAGGATTGCTAGAATAAAGAGGAGGTGAAAATAACTACAGAAGCCCATGGTTGCCCTTGACTAGGGATATGGTGAAGTCATGTCTCACAGAAGACTATGTAGAGCACAGAAGTAAACAGGCAGAAGACCACAGGAGTATGTGGAAGCTCTCTTCTGAATGTTTCAGTTCTGTCACCTAGGAAGCAAAGTGACACAGTACTACAGATTGGGGAGAGAAGAGAGTACATCAGTGAGTCGCCTAGGTTATAAGAGAAAAAAGGTAGCAGGAAAATAAAACATGATTAGTAGTAGCATCAAGGACTCAGAGATTAGGGATCTTGAACTTACAGTGAGATCAGTAAGTACTTGCTCTTTTCCAGATGTATGAGTCTAGGCAAGGAGCTAAGTGTATAAGTCCATCATCATCATGATGGACCACGGAATCGAAGCTGAGTAAGAAAAGGTAAGATACCAGTAGGATCAGAAGAGTAAAAAAGTGACAGACTTAAAAAGCTGAGAGGCCCAACAGGCTGGATGACGTGAAGTAACAGAAACAGTGATATGAAAAGGTAAGAGGAGACTGACAGATGGAAGAAACTGTGAAACTGAGACTACAGACTGATTGTAGCTTGAATAAAATGAGGTGTAGAAATGAGCAGTAAGACATGGTAGAAGGTAGAATTCACTGAAGGAGAGGACTTCCAGGTCTCAAGACACAGGCTACTGCAAGAACTATGCACAGGAACATTGAAGTCATTGAGAATTCTAGCATGAGCAGTCTCATCAATGAGCGTGCCTTAGTGAAGTAAGAAGCAGAATCTGTGAGGAGGGCAGGTCTCCAAGGGTTTCCTGTCTCTGTACACTGTAAGCAAAGGCCCTCACTGTCTTGGTTCTGGGCTGTCTTTTCCAGCATGCTGTATAACAGTCATCCTCACAAGTAGCTAGGATTATAGACGTGAGCCACCAGCACCAGCTTGGAACACTTATTTCTTACCAAACAAAACATTTTAGAAAATTTTGGGGTTGGGGGCATGTCTTAAGTGGTAGAGCAAGAGTGAGGATGTGAGTTTAATCACCAGTATTGCAAAAAAAAAAAAAAATTAAACATAAAAACTTAAAAAAACACACAAAGCAAAATTATTACTTAAGAGTTAGAAGAAAATGTTAACTTACTTGAATTAGATCTAAAATGCCAAGTTCACTTTCTGAAGAATCCACACAGAAGACAAAATACAGTGTTGCATAATGTCTATAAATCAGTTTGTTATCAGAGCCTCCAATTAACCTAAATGAGAAAACAAACATTGAAACGTTATGGGGAACAAAATGCAAAATACTTTCATTAGTACAAGCAAAATGACAATCTTGTTAAAAACCTTTTATAAAACAAAAGGTGACATTTAATGGCATAGCATTCACATGAACTGACTAAAGAAACAAAATAAATTAAGATGGTTAAGTTGGCTATTTTCTTCAGAAATGTTAAGTACAAGATGCCAGTGCTTGATTTTAGTTCATTCATTCATTCATTGAACTATTTGCTGAGTAAAACTACTATGTGCCTAGCACTGATGGTGTGTAAGAAGCAACAAACAAATGAAGAAGAAAATTACCAGATAGTGAAAGGTGTTACACTGAGAACCTAACAGGACAACATCTTATTTGATGGGGATGCTACTTCAGACTGGGTCTTAAGGAAGAGTAACACTGAGGCTGAGCTCTAATGATTAGGAACTGGCCGTGAGCACTTAGGTAACAACTAATAAAAAAGGCCATTTCATCAAGAACAAAGTATGTATTTTCAAGGAAGAGAAAGAAGGCAAGTGCACAAAAGATTAGTATGCAACAAGGTGGCAGAACTTAGGTCACAGGGCATTTGTAAGTGCTTACTAGCCAAAACTCCATAGGTCACAGTAAGTTACACAGCTTAACACTGCTTATCAACTAGGGAGAAAAAAGAGTAATATTAATATTTCTTAAGTTTTACACTTATGTACCATCAAGATCACCTCCAAAAACATATCATTTTCAAATATGAAAGAAGACTGAGTTAAAAGATACTCAATTCTTTTATCAAATACTCTCATTTTTATTGACCAGAATTTAGCATTTTAAACATAATAATTTAGGAATCATTCCAGACAACTTACATTTTTCTAAATATAAAATATAAAACATTACCTTCTCAAAAAACACTAACATAGTTTAAAATCAAGGCTAAATGTAGCCAAAGCAAGCTGAACAATAGCATGTAGTTATTACTGAGTAAATATAACATTAAACTTAGAAGTTCTGTGAAATGACTTCAATGTCCTCTAACAGCAAAAACGGAAATGACCTCTGAAAAGAATTAAGAATTCCTACTACACTAGATACTTTTCTAGAAAAGACGTAATTTTAAAGTATGTATGTGCATATGAAAGATTTGAGATTTTTATGACTATAGTTACAATTGTTCCCTGAAAGGGATAAAAAGAGCACCAACAGTGGGCTTCACTTAATCCTGAATCATCAATTTCATATAAAATTTTTCTTTTGCTTTGCTTTAAAAGAACACAAAGCAGAGGCGGGTGCCAGTGGCTCACACCTCTAATCCTAGCTACTCAGGAGGCATAAATCAGGAGGATCGTGGTTCAAAGCCAGCCTGGGCAAATAGTTTGCGAGACTCTATCTCAAATAAAAAAAAAGTGTATATATATATATATATACATGTATATGCATATATGTATGTATACATATATATATATATAAAAGTGTGAGATATATATATATCTCACAAAAAAGGGCTGGTGGAGTAACTCAAGGTATAGACCCTGAGTTCAAATCTCAGTACCGCAGAAAAAAAAAGAACACCAAGCAGAGTCAGGTGTAGTGGCTCATACCTACAATTCCAGTTACTTGAGAGGCAAAGATAGGAGGATCTTAGAGGCCAGCCCAGGCAAAGTTAATGATACCCTGAATCAAAAAGAAAACAAGCCAGCTACTCTGGAGGAGGAGGTAGGAGGACTGAGGTCTGAGACCAGCCCAAGCAAAAGTGAGACCTTATCTGAAAAATATTCTAAATAAACTAACAAAAAAAGTAAAAGGGTTGGGTGTGTGCCCTGAGTTCAATCCCTAGTGCCTCCTATCAATCAATCAATCAATAAAAAGATCAAGCTTCTGAAAACTGTGTTACAAAACAGCCACTAATGTTACCAAAAGCAGCCAAGGATACTCATATAGCCAGCACATATTTTGCTCTAAAATATATAATTTTACCCTTAAAGTACAATATAGACTGATACAAATTTATGTATGGAATGCAACATATCATAAGAACCCAAAGACTTTTAGAAATCTTCATAGTCCAGGTATCTCATTTTAGTTATCTGAGGTCCAAGAGTTTGAATGACCTGACCAAGGAAACCAGCTTGTTAGGACGAAACTAGAACTACATTAGATGTGTGGCTCATGTGTCACAATGCTGCTCTCTACTTGGGATAAGGATCAAAAATAATCACCACAACGTCAAGCTATAGTTTCTGATTCAAACAAGACCCTATTCTGGCCAAGGCTTCTTCTGTGCCTACTACGGGCAGGGCACCCTGCTGGCATGAGATTCCTATGGGATAGGAAGCTAAGAGGAAATGAGAGCAAATTACAGTAATGGCAGAGACAACACTCTTACAGAGGTTCAAGAGAATTATCTGCATGGAAAATTTAAAAACAAGCAGACAGACCTTGTCTCAATCTTTAAATTCAAAGTCTCGAGTTAACAGCAAAACTTACAAAGGATGAGTATGTGTTATGTATTTAAGCGCAACACCATATAATCTTTTAAGAAATGCAAGTAAAATTTATAACTGACAAAAAGAAACTTATGGTTGGGAAAGAATGGTTCTGTTACCCCAACTTTTCTCAAAATAGACATCATATACCTTAAAATACAGAAAAGTTTCTCTGACCAATCTGTGATCATTTATGAGACTCAGTCATCAGCCAGTATGAATTCTCGACATATCTTATTAAGCATATTAGTTGTGTAAACAGGGAGAAATACTTGTAAAAATATGTGAAAGCAGACTAGATTCAATAGAACTCAGTAATTTACAAGTATTTATAATATCTGGCAAACAAATTACAGGTAATTCTTATTTAATAATAGAAAAATCTATTAACTGAATTCTAATCTACACTATACACATATAGATAAATACATAGATTCAAAAAAGACTTTACCTTATTTACAATAATACAATAAAGGATATAATCTTATGAACGGTCACCCTAAGGAATACTCTTTAGTCATTAAAAAGAACGAGGTTGCTCCAGATGTGAGTATAGACAAAGCTTTTCAAAGTATTAGGCAAAACAAGCAACAGGCAAGTGGGCATCCAATGTGGTCTCATAAGTGGTATTTTAAGGTTGCATTTTTACATGTTAGTTACATGCAAAATAAATTTTCTAGAAGGATACAAAAGACACTGGGAAGAACTAAGATTGTGAGAGGGAGACTCATTCAACCTTGCAGACTTCCCTGTAATGTTTAAATTTTTGCCATCTGAATAGCTTTCTTTAACAGAAAGTGCCCTTTCAAACTGTTTGGAAAGACCAGCAGCTATTTTTTAAAAATATTCTTTAAGTTACATTTATGCTAAAATGGGTGGCAATTAATTTACCTGCTCCAATTCATCAAAATGAGGAAATTTTTACCATAAACTGATTAAGTAGTATATATTTTAATCATATAGTCAAAAATAAGAAATGTCTATGAAATGCTTTACTTACAATCCTCCTTCTAGGAAATTACAAACATTTTCATCTCTCTTAGATACCAAATGGAAAGTCTCCCTGATGATTTGCTGCTGTGTGTCTTCACTCTGAGAAAGAATAATTCATATACATTAGGATCGGGTTTATGGCTTTGACAGCATTTTAAGAATTTGTGAAAATAAAAGATAGTAATTTCAATCTGGAAAATCCAACTAAGAGAGGGGTCCTTAAATTATAGAAGGAAAACCCAACATTTCTTTCATGAAAAAGGAAAAAAAATCAACATGATAGTTCACCACTACAATATAACTTGCTTCTTCTTTTCAAAACCCACAAGAAAAAACAGATGAGCCAGTAAAAAGGAAGGGAGGGATCAGCTAGTCAATCACCGCCCACTGGTTTACAATGACTAAACTGGAGGGCAAGGGCAGAATTCATTCCTGTAGCTAATCTACATGTGAATGGAAGAATAATACAGAACTGTGGTGTTTCCAATGAAGTTCATCTTTATTAAATATAGGCTGAAATGACAAAAAAAAATAAATACAGGTTGAGGGTAAGAGTTCATCTTATTCATCTTTACATAAGGATAACCTGAAACCAAGAATTGCTTCAATAAATATTTATCAAACTCAATCAAGCAATCATACCCCAGTCAAAAAGGATCAGCTTCCAAACATTCTGACAAAAAACTGAACAGGATATATATGATGGTCCATAAATAAGTAAAAAGACGCTAAGCCTCAACAGTAAACAATGAAGTGACATACAAGTTAAAATGACAGTGACACAGCTCCACATGCATGCTGTTAATCAAAACAAAAACATGACAATATCCAACGTGGACAAAGATGTGGAACCAAAGAAACTTTGGTACCCCTGGTGGGAAGGTAAAGGTACAGTCACTGGGAGAGGGTTTTATAGACCAGCACTATTATCCCTAGTTACTCTGCTAACCCATATGGAACCACTGTTTTTTGAAGCTCAAAAAACAACTGAATATTGACAATTATGTGTGTGTGTGTGTGTGTGTGTGTGTGTGTGTGTGTGTGTATAATAACCTCTTAATCCGTGCTCTGGGAGAAACAGAATGTTTATAAAAGTACTGTTTGTGACAACAAAAGCTGAAAACAATACAAATAAACTATGGTGTACTCATACAATGAAATCCTACCTTTACATTCCACTCTTAAATATGAACGATTTTCCAAAATTTAATATGGAAAAACCGCATCTCAGCTCCATCTGCCATGACAAGACCACAGACTGGGTGACTAAGTAACACTGATTCTCTAACAGTAATAGATGCTAGAAGATCAAGCTCAGGGTGCCAGCATGTCATTTCTGGCTGAGGGATTTCTTTCTGGTTTGTGGATGACCTCCTTCTCACCATGTCCTCATATGGCAAGGAAGGGGGCAAAAGCAAGCCGGCTAGTATCTCTTCCTATTGGGGTACTCAACCCATCAAGAGGTCTCACCACCATGACCTCAAAGACCCCATCTCCAGGTACTATCACATTGGGGACAGTTTAGTCCACAACCTGAGGAGGAAAAAAACAAATAACAGAATGATACATAGGTGACAAAAATAAAACTATAACTGAATGTAGTGGCCCCTGCCTTTAATGCTAGTTACCCGAAAGGCTGAGGCAGGAGGATCGAGAGTTCAAGGCCAACCTGGGCTACTCAGGGAGTTCAGGCTAGCCCAGACTACAAAGTGAGACCCTATCCCCACCAAAAAATTAATATGTATGTATATGTGTATGTTTATATATGTATACATACATACATATATAAATATATAAAGAAAATCAAAGGAATGAGTAACACATTGTAAAGGATCAGATTCACAAAAATTGTATTTTCTAGCCATACTACAATTAGATGAAAAAAAAATCAACTGAAAGTATGTTTTATTTAAAAAAAAAATCTTCAACAGGCATCCAAATTGCAAAGGAAGAAGTAAACTTGTTTTACACCCCCAAACTCTAAGGAATTAATTAATTCTCTCTCTCTCTCTCTCTCTCCCTTTCACATCTTTCATATACACACAACACAGCACCAATTAACAAATTTAGCAAAGTGGAAAAATACAAAATCATCACACAGAATCCCTAGCGTGACATAAAACATCCTCCAAATGTAACTGACAGCTTCTCTGATACCGTCTGTCCAGTCCAGTCCCACCAGCCACACTGACTTCCTCAGCATCCCCTCCCTCCCTACTTTCTTACTTCAGGCTGGAAACACTTTTCTAGCCCCATTCGCTAGCAATGCCCTTTTTAAGACAGCGCCAATATTTTCATTCCTATGACATCTTTCCCAACTCTCAGGACAAGCTCAGTCTCCTCTCCTTGCTTCCTTGGAACTACTCCTACTCCTATTTCTGAGAGACAATGGGCTCCAATTTCCTTTGTAGACTCAAATTCTAACACCAGAACCAACTGGAGTGTTGCAGCTGGAATGCTCAAGAAAACAGTAAAATTCAGAAATAAAAAATGAGCTCATGAGAATTTTTTCATAAATATTTTTATTAGGATATATTCTTTATACAGGGGGGATTCATAGTGACAATTCTGATTAGACTTATATTGTACATTTATATTGCCCCCATCGTCTCTCCCCCTCAGCTGCCTCCCACCCCACTTGAAGCAATTGCAAGAGATTTTTCAGTTTTGTTTCATATACGTGTATGAAGTCCATCTGCCTTATACTATCACCTTAATCTCCTTCCTTTACCCTCCCCCCTCCTACTAGCACCCCTCCCCATCATGGGAATTTAAAATATGAGGTGAAATGTTAAAATTCAAGAAGGGAAAAATAAAACTACAAAGTAAAGTTGAGGGGGAAAAAACCCAGAAAATAGAGTCAAAGGGTAAAAAAAAAAAAAAGAGATAAGAATGATGAACATGTAGGAATGATGAATAGAAAGAGAGGCAAAAGGAATGCAGAGAAAACAGTGTCTCCAGAGACAAGGGCTTCTGGGTGGAGATGGCCCATCAGGTAAGCAGACAGTACTGACCACAGCCCAGGTCAGCATCTTGAGACTTGAGAGACTCTGCAGACAAACAGGCCTCTACACACTTCCTGCTCAGCAAAAACACATCAGACACAGAATTCAGTCAACAGAATTGCTTCAGACTCTGACAGGAGCAGGTAAGGGAACAAAGCCACCAAGGGAAGATGACTGTGACCCAGGGTTCTGTAGTGCAATCAATGCATCACAACAAAACTTCAGACATGCAGGGTCTCACACCATCCACCCTCCATGCCCTTTTCTCTACAACTTGTGCACACTGGTCCTGGCCAAGGTTCTAGAAGAGAATTCTCCAGGAACATGAATCTGATAGGAGATGTATATAATTTAGATGGCTGGCAAAGATGTAAATTAGTGAAACTAGATCAAAGGAAAAGGCAATTATGTTCAACCCAAAAAAATGTCAGGAAAAGTAACATGAACAGTGAATACTGATCTAACTAAAAGTATGAAATAACAAATAATGAAGGGACTGGGAATTAGACTAGGAAGCAGTGGGAGCTCAATAATGGTTTTTAAGTACAGAACAAACAGAATGTGTACAGTGGAAAACCAGGCAGCAAGGCAAGCATGCGATTTAGAGATATGCACAATACTGCAGGAGCCAGCTAACAGGAGCTACCTGTGGAAGGGTGTGCAATAACAAGGGTGTTATTTTTCATGATAAAACTTACAGAAGTATAAGATTCTCTAACCTACTTGCACCTATAACTTGGATTCATGAACTATAAAAATAAGAAATCAGAGAAGAATGGGTTTATTTCTGGAAGTAGCCTTTGTTAACTGTGAAACTTTTAGCAAATTGTTTAGCTTCTCCGTGCCTGAGTGTTCTCCATCTATAGCATGGAGAGAATGACATAACTGAGGGCTGAGGTCACACACAGCTCTTAGGATACTGAGCACGTAACAAGCATGCATCAACAGTGGCTGACATTTAAGTACCCACCACTGATCCTGTGTAAAACAAGTTCTAAAATCCTGATGAGAGTGTGAAAATCTAATAGGCTGTTTTCATTTAAGGAAAGTTACCTTTTGCATTATATTACTGCTTATCAACAAATTACAGATGAAATAAGCTAAACTTCAGCTATGTTTCATTATTATTATTATTATGGCAGTAATTCCTCAAATGAACTTCAGGTCTGCCACTTAGAATCTAAGAATACTGAAAATACTAAGCTAAGAAAGCTAATATGGGTGGTGGCCAGAGACAGGGGAGGAAAGGGAGAGAGAAGGCTGGGCAAAGAGAAAATGTGAGCAACGTGTGTCAAGTTTTAGGTACACCAAAGGAGAAAGTTTTAGTCATCTGTTGCACTATCTGGTGATCACAGTTAATAGAATACATATTTTGTAACTACTAAAAGAACAGACTTTACTGTTCTCACACAAAAAAATAAGTAGGTGAGGTGAGAGATATGCTAATTAGCCTGACTGCATCCTTCTAAAGGATATACACATATCAAATCACTGAAATATACCCCACAAATGTACAAAACTATTTAAGAAACTAAAACATTTTGAAAATGAAAATCAATGAAGGAAAGAATGCCTTGAAACTTTAATAACATAAACAAAACTAAGCTAAGATTTGATAAACGATGTCTCTGCTGACGTAAGACAATTTCCGTTTCTTCATGAACTTTCATGTAGGGAGCGGAGATAAAGGAGAAGGATGAAGGAACTAAATTCAATAATAATATCTTGTAAGAATGTGTATAAATGTCACACTATACCCCCAATACAGCAATAATAAAACAAAAAGGAAAAAAAGGTTTTGTAAGGAAGCCTGGGGCGTGCTTCCAACTAGTTGTCCTAACATGGCAGTTTCATAACACAAGTCCAAAGACACACTGCAGTTAGTCACAATGCCTATGTTGCCTATGTTACATCAGTCTAGAGACAATCAGTTACACAAGCCAAAAAGCTTTATTACTGCAAATGCTTCTTACAGCACTAATGAAAAACAAACTTTAAAAAATCCAGAAACCTAGCAACAAAGCTTTCTCTTTTCCCATCCTTATACTTATGTCAAAAAGGCAACTTTACAGTAAAAAATTCTCTCTAATCAGA